CAAGCAACATAAATTAGTGGAAGTTTAATGTAGTCAGAGAAAGTTGAAAAAACAGAGAGCACACAAGTACACAACTAGACAAAGAAAATCAAGGAAGCCACAAAAAGCAATTAGAGTCTAGTATGGTTAGAGAAAATTTAGATGACAGAAAATTCAATAGAAAAAGACAACATCGTAGTGAAAATCAAACAATAAACATAAATTGGTGAGAATTTAATGTGGTCAAGAAAAATTCAAATGCCAGAAAAAATTAGAGAGAAAATCAAAGAGACAACTAGCTAGAGAAAATCAAGCAAGGCATAGAGAGAAAGGGAGTCCAATGTGTTCAGAGAAAATTCATATAAAGGGGATATCTTAATGCCAGAGAAAATTCATCTCGAGAGAAAAATTACACACAAGGTGACAACTAATCAGCAAAAATCAAACAACTAACCTAAATTGATGATTGTTTAATGTGGTCAGGGAAAATTCAAATGCCAAAGAAAATTTAGTTCGAGGGAGGCTACTAACCATTGAAAATCAAAAAAGCAACATAAATTACTAGAAGTTTAATGTGGTCAAGGAAAATTGACATGCTAGAGAAAATTGGAGAGAAATCAAAGAGACAACTAGCCATAGGAAATCAAGCAAGGCACATAGCGTAAACAGAGTCCAATATGCTCCAAGAAAATTATAATGCCAGATAAAATTCATCTTAAGGGGAAAATTACACACAAGGAGATAACTAATCAATGAAATCAAACAAGCAACATAATTTCATGGTTGTTTAAATGTGGTCAGAGAAAATTCATCACAAGGAGAAAACTAACAAGTGAAAATCAAACAAACAATATAAAATTGAAATACTAGAGAAAATTACTGAGAAAATCAAAGAGACAACTAGCCAAATAAATTCAAGCAAGGCACAAAGAGTAAAAGGAGTCTAGTGTATTCGGAGAAAATTATAATGTCGGAGAAAATTCATCTCAAGGGGATATCTTAATGCCGAAGAAATTGCAGAGAAAATATAAAGCTTCAAGAAACATACACAACCAAACTACTAGCTTCAACAAAATCAAGCAAGCACATAAAGTAAAGTGAACCTAATGTAATTAGAGAAAATTAAGATGTTAGAGAAAATCACAGACATAATCACATAACAAGCTTCAAGAAGAAGTTAATAGGTAGAGAAATTTCATTTTTAGAAATTCATCTGAATATTATTACGAAATCGAAACCCTAGTTAATGGAACAGTATTATAAAATGCAATAAACTGTAGAAACAAAGAAAAACTAATTCAAAAATAGAAACATTTACTAGATTGAGGTGATGAGGATGAAACCCTAATTACGAACGAAGATGAAAATGAACAGACTCAAGGATGAACAATAAAATCTGTTAGAGAAATTTGTGAGAAAGAAATTTAAAAGATTTTCGAGGAAGATGAAACCCTAGCTTTGTTAGGCCAAGTTTGGGAAGACTAAATAAGTGCACTTTTTATCTTTTTGGATTAAAAAATTGAGATTGAAAATATGAATGTTTGGGTTAACTTTTTGACTTTTTATGGAAAAATGTGTAATAAAAAATTGTAAAAATTGGTTTGTAGAGGAAAATTTGAATTGGGAGTTGTGCAGCCGTAATTGTTGACTTTTGGTGAATAGTGTTAACTTTTTAACTTTTTGAGTAACTTTTTGGCTTTTTGACTTATTTGGGACTTCCCAAACTTAGCCTTAATGTCAATCATGAAGATGATGAAACCCTAATTCGTTAGTGTATAGCTTGTGGATGTCAATCGGGGATATCAGGTGTCGAAATACCAGTTCGTTTTTCTCTGATGAATGTAGAGGGTATTTTTGTCCAAAAACTGAATAAAAAGCGTGCGTTTTTTTGTTTGAGGGACTTGAGGCATTATGCTATTTTTTAGTGTCATTTATCCTCTAAATTGCTATTATTAGGGACCTTAAAAAAAATTTCTCTATTTCTTTATTCCTCATTTTTTTAACTGGTGCCACTACTTTGCTCAACCATTGCACTACCAATTCCCACTCAACCAGCACTACCGCCATTATTGTTTAGAAGTATTTGGTGCATCGCCAAGGATAGTTGAAAAATATTGTGAGTGTAGACAGAGAAATTTGGTAATGGTTGAATGAAAATTAGGGTAGTATGCTAATTTTATTTTGGTATTAGAGGGTATTTGTGGTGTTTTTATTTTATTTTATTTTATTGGTTAGGCTAGTTACATGAAAAAATTATGACGAAAGTGTATTTGTAATTTTTAAAATGTGAGAAAAAATTTATACTTTGACAAATTTAAAAAGGTGTATTTGTATAAACTAATATTATTTTAAAAGTATATTGTGGCATTTATATTGTAAAATAATAATTTTAGTTATATCATGATATGATTAAACTGAAGAGTTTTAATTTAAATTAATTTATTTATATGTACATCTATATTAGTCCCATTTTGTAGCTCGAATTTTATTTGGCTTGAGTGGCTCGACTAACAAAAATGACGTCGTTTTGGGCAGGTTTTTTTTGTTTTTTGTTTTTTGTTTTTTGTTTTTACAAAAACAAAAAGGACACCGTTTATGGCACATAGCAGCAGTGGGTGTCAGCTATAGCCTACAGCAAATCATATGTTTTGATTTAGCCCCAAAACTTGCCCTAATCTGAATCTACGAAGGAAGAAGTCGAACCCGAATCCTTGTTCCAGTCCAGAAACTTAGAACATGCATGTATGTTCTTCATCTCTTCTTCACCTTCTTTTCGTCTGTTCTGTTCTTCCATTTCTTCTTTTTCGTTTCTTCTCATATTCTCTTCGTCTTTTCTTTTTCCTTTCTTTTTTTTTTTTTCGTTTATTTTCTACTTACCCATGCTGTTTATTTTCTTTTTCTTCTTCTTAGTTACTCATTGGATTAATGGAAACAAAGACTTGTTTTGTTGGTTTAATTTGTTAATGTTTATGTTTTGAAATGTATGCTTTAACTTGAAATATTGATGTTAGTTGAAATTTAGATCGTGGATATTCGTGTTTTATGTTCAACTTTGAAATATTTTTATATTAAAATAGCTATATTTATTGGTATTTATTTTTTAAAATGTTCAATATTTCGTCTTTTTATTTTATTTTACGCTATGAAGTACGGGTATTCTAAAAATATTGCCGTACAAGTACCGGGCTACTGAGTGCGATTACGCGTACCAGGTATGTTTTATACGATCAGTATAATAATGGGTACGCAATGGGTACATTTTTGGGTACTTCGGGGTAAAATGAGAATTTTTACAAATTAAAGGGTACTGGAGCAATTTGTTTGGTCTATTTAAAAAAATTATATAAATTTGAGGTACTTTTGTAATAAACAAAACATGAAACAAATTAAAATTAGGGTTCTACTCCGTTCGATAGTCTCCCAAGAGGCGAAGCTATTGAAGAGGTTTAATCGAAGGTGCTGATCGATTCTCTCCTTCAAAGATCACATTCCTGTAAGTTCATCTTCGATTCTTTCCCCTCTTCTTCTTCGATTCATCTTCCTCTTCTTTGTTCTGTCCAGATTTTCCAGATTCATTTTTTGTTCTGTCCAGATTTTTTTCTTTTCTTCCTCTTCTTCGATTCATCTTCCTCATATTAAATTATATTATTTCGCACCGTACTTCAATGAAGCCCGCGCCTCGCCTTGCTTCTTGCGCCTAACACTGCTCTCATTAGATAGAGGTACACTGTGGAACAAGCAAAAGAGGGCAATGGCGTCTCTAATCAAGGTAAGACCTTTGGTTCTCTCTATACTTCATTCAATGGCTTAACCAGCTTTTCATATGTGCAATTACATGTTTGTGTAGAAATTACATTTGTGAATTGCTTTTTAATTCTTTGAATTCGCTATTTGCTTATATAATTGGTGCTTAGTATCACTGAATCTGCACATATTTCCTCTTGAAACAGTGATAGATAGTGAAGTTTTACAGGAATGATTTGTTAGCTTGTAGTTGAACTCTTTTTGGCAAGCCTTAATTTAGTTATTTTTGTTATAAGTAGCTTTAGTTAGGTTATCATAAGTTATATAAGTTTGGGGTGGATGAGAGTTGCATATCCGGTAATTGGGCAAAGTTTTATACAGTTTGTTCACGGGGCAACAAGGCTAGGTGTGTACCCAATCTTTTCCCTCCCAAACACAAATTAACGTGTGCTAATTGGGCCTTTTTTTTTTCTTTTTTTCTGTTGGGTATATTTTGTTGAGCCAAATTTTTAGGAATTGAAGTAGGATTATGTGGAAAAGTTTTATACAGTTTGGTTCAATGGTAAAATCTTGACTTAATAACTTTTATGTTATGAGTTCAAGTCTCGGGACAACCACTTTGTGCACTATGCCAAAGATTAGGTGTTTACCCAATCTTTTTCCTCCCAAACACACATTAATGTGTACTATTTGGGTTTTTTTTTTTTTAAAAAAAAATAAAAATTCATGAGCGTGCATCATGATGAATTTAGTTACATTTATTTATTTTTATGTATTTACTTTTTTAGTTTGTTCTTTTTCATGTATATTTCCTATATATATATATTGTTCTTGTATTTGTGCATGTATGTAATAAATGTTTATTATTCGTATGTTTTGTTGTGAGCACCTAGAAGAAGACCGGGCATATACCTTTCTCTATGCTTATGCAATTGTCAGCGAATAGCTTAGCTTCTAACAACTCTAGATGCACTTATTTTTTAATATAGAAATTGTATTTGTTATTTTGTGTATTTTTATGTATTCAGTTGTGTTTTTCTTGTTTTGAATAGTCTAAACTCTTGCTAATATGTGGCCTGTTTAAATTTTGTTAGATTAGTCAAAGTGTGTGATGTTGCTGGTATCATTTGTTGCATAACAATATATATTGGGTGCATTCGTTGTTATATATGTTTTACTTTTTGTTGTTAGGATCAAAGCAAGCTTTCACCCTATCGAGATAGAAGGTTTCCTGGAACACAAGAAGAATTTGAACATGCACTTCTGACGTCAACTACTATTTATATTGGGAACATGTCCTTTTACACTACAGAAGAGCAAGTTTATGAGCTATTCTCTCGAGCTGGAGAAATTAAAAAGATAATCATGGGTTTAGACAAGAACACAAAAACTCCTTGTGGCTTCTGTTTTGTGTTGTAAGTACCATCTTATATATTATTGCTAATGCCTTGCAAATTGGTTTGAAAATATATTTATAGATCCCTAATTTTGGTCTTTGGCCTTATCTTCTTTACTGCTTGGCGCTTCATCTTTCTCATTGATAAGATTCTATTTTGCCAATCTTTGCACAAAATATAAAATTGCACCATGCTAGTACATTTTGTTCAACATTTAAACTAATGCTAGCCTTTCATTTCTTGGAGATGAAACCTGCTGAAAATAAATTACTCAGGAGTGTGTTTTGCTGAACAGGTCAGATTAAGTTGACATGAAAGGTATTATTGCCTAGCATAACCTAGAGAGAGCGAGAGAGGGGTAATAATTCCCTAGTGCTCTAGCACAGAAACCTGTTGCTATGTCTCCATTGTTACAGTTTATTGTAAAATAAGTTTAGTATGATTTGGACTAGAAATAGTGGGTTTGGAGACTAGGATTAGTGGATTCTATTTTGCCAATCTTTGCACAAAATATAAAATTGCACCATGCTATTACATTTTGTTCAACATTTAAACTAATGCTAGCCTTTCAATTCTTGGAGATGAAACCTGCTGAAAATAAATTACTCAGGAGTGTGTTTTGCTGAACAGGTCAGATTAAGTTGACATGAAAGGTATTATTGCCTAGCATAACCTAGAGAGAGCGAGAGAGGGGTAATAATTCCCTAGTGCTCTAGCACAGAAACCTGTTGCTATGTCTCCATTGTTACAGTTTATTGTAAAATAAGTTTAGTATGATTTGGACTAGAAATAGTGGGTTTGGAGACTAGGATTAGTGTTTTATATTGTTGGTTGATTAATGTTTTTGCGAGGTTTGGATTTACACCGAGAGAAACAAAAATGAATAAAAAAAAAAAAAAAAAACAAAAAAAAAAAACATAAGAATAAGAAACAAATCTTTAATTTGTATATAGTAAATTTAATTTTCGCCAACTTAAAATGATGTCCCCTAGCTGACACCCTAGTGGCTTAGGCTGCATTCCATTATAAAGAGGCTCAAGTTTGAGTCTCCCAAAATGACCTATAAAGAAATGGGTGCCTTTATTTAGGGCTGTCAATTTTTTGGTGTAGCTTTGATAGCTAATGAATAGGTGGAGTATGGAGTTACAAACAAGGAAGGGGTTATTCTTTAGGTGGATTTTGAAAAAAAAAAACTTACATGTGGCCTTTTTAGACTTTTCCATGCAAAATAAAGAATTTTGAGAGAATGGAGGAAATGGATGAGGGGTTGCTTATCTACTTGTACTTTTTTCGTAAGAATTAATGGTGAATGGGTGATACTTTTAAGGTGACTGGAGTCTTAGGCATTGTGATCCTCTGCATCCTTTTTTTGTTTACTTTAGTGTTCTTCGCCCCATGTTTAGTGTCACGTTACATCATTCACTCATAGATTCGTATCGATTTTGCAAAAATTGCGTATCGAATCGTGAATCGAATCGCGAATCGTAAGATTCTGATAACAGAGCTCAGGAGTGTGTTTTGCTGAACAGGTCAGATTAAGTTGACATGAAAGGTATTATTGCCTAGCATAACCTAGAGAGAGCGAGAGAGGGGTAATAATTCCCTAGTGCTCGAGCACAGAAACCTGTTGCTATGTCTCTATTGTTACAGTTCATTGTAAAATAAGTTTAGTATGATTTGGACTAGAAATAATGGGTTTGGAGACTAGGATTAGTGTTTTATATTGTTGGTTGATTAATGTTTTGGCGAGGTTTGGATTTACACCGAGAGAAACAAAAATGAATGAAAAAAAAAAAAAAACATAAGAATAAGAAACAAATCTTTAATTTGTATATAGTAAATTTAATTTTCGCCAACTTAAAATGATGTCTCCTAGCTGACACCCTAGTGGCTTAGGCTGCATTCCATGATAAAGAGGCTCAAGTTTGAGTCTCCCAAAATGACCTATAAAAAAATGGGTGCCTTTATTTAGGGCTGTCAATTTTTTGGTGTAGCTTTGATAGCTAATGAATAGGTGGAGTATGGAGTTACAAACAAGGAAGGGGTTATTCTTTAGGTGGATTTTGAAAAAAAAAAACTTACATGTGGCCTTTTTAGACTTTTCCATGCCAAATAAAGAATTTTGAGAGAATGGAGGAAATGGATGAGGGGTTGCTTATCTACTTGTACTTTTTTCGTAAGAATTAATGGTGAATGGGTGATACTTTTAAGGTGACTGGAGTCTTAGGCTGCATCCTTTTTTTGTTTACTTTAGTGTTCTTCGCCCCATGTTTAGTGTCACGTTACATCAAACATAACCACAACAGCCACCCTTAACACCCATACCATTATCCACCACTAACCACCCTTAGCACCCAACATCAAACATAACCACAACAGCCCTGATAGCTACCCACACCTCTTTCGCAGGATTGTTGAACTATCCCCTATTCGCTGGATTGTAGTGATGCAATCATATCAGAGCCATCAGATCAAGAGCATCAAAGGAATCAAGAATTGTAGCTCAAACTGATATGGATTGATTACATATTGTCTCAGCTCTTGTAAAGTAGTTACAACTACTTTCAGTTATGTAATTAGATATAGTATATATACATTCGGTTATATAGCTAGATATAGAATAGATATATAAACTCTTGATTTGTATAAATAGAGGACTCTGTACTGAAGATTAAATCATCAAAGATATTTTTGCTCTTCTATATCAACGTCTTCATGGTATCAGAGCACTCTAACTCCAATGAGTTAAGCTCCTTCAAGGTCCTTCAATGGTGTCCTCTGTCACAACAGTAATGGAATCTGCATCTCTATCACTTCCAGCAAACCTTGCCCTTCTTATCAACAATCTGAATTCGTTTGTCACAATCAAGCTGGGTTCTACAAATTATTTGATCTGGAAAAGTCAATTTCAAAACATACTTCGAGCTACAAATCTTATTCACTACATTGATGGTTCTTCTCAATGTCCTCCTTCACTGATTCATGATTCTAATGGCAAAGAGATCACCAACCCCGAATTTCTCACATGGAAGCAAGTTGATTCTCATCTGTTAAGTTGTATAACTGCAACTTTAACTCCTGTTGTGTTTACATCAGTTCTTCGATGCTCCACAAGTTATGAAGTCTGGACTCTTCTCACTAAAAGGTTCACCTCTTTGTCCAGATCGCATATTCATCAACTCAAGAACAAACTCAATGATGTCTCCAAGAAATCCTTATCCATGGAAGATTATCTACTACAGGTCAAAACAGTATCAGATCAGTTAGCTCTTGTTTCTTCTCCTATTGAGGAAGAAGATCTAATTCTCATTGTCTTGAATGGACTTCCCACAGAATACAATGCTTTAAAGACGGCAATAAGAGCAAGAACTGAACCAATCACCATGTTAGATTTGTCCTCTCTTTTGTGCTCCGAAGCTTTGCATGTTGAATCTGAAATAAAAGTGTCTTCTTCTCTGTCTGATCTCACTGTTGCATATTCTGCTACCAAAGATCAAGGCTCTAAATCTCAATGCAATTCTGGATTTCGGGGACACAAATACTCCAATTACAGAGGAGGATCATCTACTAGAGGTGGAAGGTATGTTCATAGAGGACATTTCAATCATAGAGGTGGAGGAAGATCTGCATTTTCATCACATTCTTTCTCACAGCAGCCAAATCCCCCTCCTAATTCTTTGATCTGTCAAATTTGTGGCAAGCCTAATCACACAGCCATAGACTGCTGGTGTAGGATGGAAGCATCTTCATCTTCTTCCTCTGCCCCAAAACTTGCCTTTATTGCTAATGCTTCTACCTCTTCTCCATCTGCCAGTTGGTATGTTGATTCTGCAGCCATAACTCATGTTACTCCAGACCTTAATAACAGGCAGCAATATCAACCATACCATGGTTCTGACCATGTAACTGTGGGCAATGGCCACTCTATTCCAATTCAAAATACCGATCAAGGTATTCTTCCCACTCCCTCATTCTTTCAAGCTTAATCATATGCTTCATGTTCCTTCTCTGTCCTCCAATCTTCTTTCTGTTCATCAATTCACATCTGATAATGATTGCACAATAACTTTTGATGACAAGTCTTTTGTGATTCAGGACAAGACTACTCAGATCCCTCTATACAAAGGGGTCCATAGTCATGGTCTATATCAACTTCCATCCACATTTTCTTCTCCAAAGTCTTCTCTTCAACAACAGTCTCCTTCATCTCCTGTTGCTTGTCTTGCCACCAGTCCTGCTTCCACTACAGTTTGGCACACAAGGCTAGGTCATCCTTCCTCTCAAAAGCTTCATGTTTTACTTCAGCAATACCAGTTACTTGTTTCCTCTCATTGTAATAAAACCTTGTGCACCCATTGTGCTGTAGCTAAGAGTCATAGACTTCCTTTTACTTTGTCAGATTCGTCTGTAAATAAGGCCCTCTCTCTTATTCATAGTGATGTATGGGGCCCATTCTCTTGTTCTAGTTTTAATTTCAAATATTATGTTCTGTTTGTCGATGAATTTAGCAAGTTTACGTGGGTATATCCTATGTGCTACAAGAGTGAAGTTTTCTCTAAATTTCAAGAATTTAAAGTGTTTGTTGAAACTCAATTTGCCACTAAACTTAAAGTGTTTCGAACTGATGGTGGTGGTGAGTTTACCAGTACTCAATTTGACCAATTTCTTAAAAACAATGGTGTTATTCATCAGCTCTCACGTCCTCATACTCCTCAAAATGGGGTTGCTGAGCGAAAGCATAGGCATTTGATTACTACCACAATTGCTCTTCGTCACCAATCTGCTCTTCCATTATCTTTTCGGTTTGATGCCTTAGCCACTTCCGTGTTTCTTATAAATCGATTACCCAGCTCCAAATTGCAAAATAGAACTCCATTTGAGTTGTTTCATTCTTCTCCTGATTTTAGTTTTCTCAAAAGCTTTGGTTGTCGATGTTTTCCTTGGCTAAAACCTTATACTTCTCATAAACTCCAACCAAGGTCTGTGCCATGTGTGTTTATTGGCTATCATCCTTCCATGAAGGGTTATAGGTGTTTTGATCCTATTTCGGGTATAGTTTTTCTTTCTAGGCATGTTGTTTTTGATGAGTCTTTATGTTCTTTTGTTTCTCATCCTATTCTTCCTCCCTCTACTACTACTTTATCTCAACTTCATACTTTCTTTTGGCCTTCTTCCGTTCCTTTACTAATCTGTCCTCATCTACTCAGCTTCCTGTCCAGTCTCCATCAAGTCTGTCTGCACCTGTTTTGCCTTCCTCTGCTGTGCCTATTTCTGATCTGCCTCCCTCTTCTGCCCCTAGGTCTAGGCCTTCCGTTCCTTCACCTGCAACTGCTATTCCAGCTACACCTACTGCTGTTTTTCCAGTTGCTACTGTTCCTGCCACAGCTACTGCTGTTTCTCCTGCTGTTGAAGTTCCTGCTGCAGCACCTACTACTCTACCAGCCTCATCTATTTTTTTTTCTCTCCTCTTCCTATTGGTTCTCTTCAAGTTGATTTAAGGTCATATGCTCCCTTAGTTCCCTCTCTTAACACTCATCCCATGGTCACTCGGTCTAAAAGCAATCCTCACATTCATTTCACTGTCTGTCCTTCTCTTGATCCATCTTTGGTCGAACCTCATGCCTGGTCTGAGGCTATTACTATCCCTGCTTGGGCTGCTGCTATGACTGAAGAATTTCAAGCCCTTCAACGCCAAAAGACTTGGGTTTTGGTTCCTCCTCCTCTTCACAAACATGTTATTGGTTGCAAATGGGTGTTTCGTCTCAAGAAAAATTCTGATGGCTCTATTGCTTGTCATAAAGCTCGTTTGGTTGCTATGGGTTATCTTCAAGAGGAAGGGATTGACTATCATGAGACATTCAGCCCTGTGGCCAAGCAACCCACCATTCGTATTTTTCTAAGTGTTGATCTACATTTCAATTGGCAAATCAAACAACTGGATATCTCCAATGCCTTCCTTCATGGCATTATTGAGGAAGAAGTGTTTATGGTGCAGCCTCCTAGTTTTGAAAATTCTTCCTATCCCTCTCATGTTTGTAAATTGGAAAAGGCCCTTTATGGTCTTAAATAGGCTCCGCGTGCTTGGTACTCCACTTTTTCCTCGTTTTTAATCACTTTTGGCTTTGTCAATAGTTGGTGTGATTCCTCCTTATTCATTCATCACTCTTATTCCTCTATTATTCTTTTGGTGGTGTATGTGGATGATATTCTTATTACTGGGAGTGACTCTGTTCAAATTGCCACACTTATTAACCGTATGCACTCTGCATTTTCCATGAAGGAATTGGGCAACATTTCCTATTTTCTTGGTATCTCTGTGTTGTCCACTTCTGCTGGTCTCTTTTTGTCTCAACACATATGCTTCTGAGATTCTTGCCAAAGCTGGGCTGACAAATTGCAAAGCTTATCCTTCCCCTATGTCTATTAAGGCTTCCTCTTTCTCTGATATATCCAGTCCTTTTGCTCAGCCTGCTTTATATCGTAGCTTGGTGGATGCTTTGCAATATCTCACCATAACAAGGCCTGAAATTTCTTTTGTTGTGAATCATGCTTGTCAATTTATGCATGCTTCCATTGTGGCTCACTTTAATCTTGTCACGTGCCTTTTGCGTTATCTTCGTGTTACTTTGCATTATGGTCTTGCTTTCACTGCTAGTTCTTTAGATCTTCATGCCTTTTTGATGCGGACTAGGTTGGTAGTGTGCATGACCGAAAGTCTATTACTGGTTTTTGCGTTTTTCTTGGCTCCAACCTTGTGTCTTGGTTTGCTAAGAAACAAAGTACTGTTTCTCGCTCCTCTACTGAAGCTGAATACGTGGCTCTCGCTCAGGCTGCCTCTGAACTGACTTGGCTTCAAATGCTCCTCACTGAATTACATCTTCCTTCTGTTGTCACTACTCTTTGGTGTGACAACATTTTTGCAATCAGTTTGGCCTCAAATCTTGTCTTCCATGCTCGTACTAAGCATATTGCTGTGGACTATCATTATGTGAGTGAACAAGTTGTATCCAAGAAACTTTTTGTCAAACATGTTGCCACCTCTGATCAACTTGCCTACATTTTCACTAAGCCTCTGTCTTCTGCCCGCTTTGCTTGTCTTCAACGCAAGCTCATGGTTCGTGCCTCTCTCCTTCACTTGAGGGGTCCTGATGAGATCATATCAGAGCCATCAGATCAAGAGCATCAAAGGAATTGAGTTGTAGCTCAATCTGATATGGATTGATTACATATTATCTCAGCTCTTGTAAAGTATTTACAACTACTTTTAGTTATGTAATTAGATATAGTATAGATACATTCGGTTATATAGCTAGATATAGAATAGATATATAAACTCTTGATTTGTATAAATACAGAACTTTGTACTAAAGATTAAATCATCAAAGATATTTTTGCTCTTCCATATCAACGTCTTCATGTAGAACCACAATCAACAAAGAACAAACTCATTGAAGAACTCAAAACGACGACGGAGCAGCCCCCCTCTAGCAACGGCGTCTTCCCTCATCTAAATTTCAAAGCCCCTTGGAAATTATTATAATAGTAGCGGTGGCTTGTTCCCCCCTACACTGTCTCCAACCCCCACATGACTTCCAACTCCATCACAGTCACCTCCTCCAACCGCCATCACCACCACCTTCACCCCTGTGCCATCACCACAACCACCCACAACCTGTAAAACCATACAAGTCAAACTCATCTCATCTTCAACCACAAAGCCACACAAATCAGACCATGCACACAAATCGAACCCACTCTCCATGCAAATCAAATCCAAAGTTTTTATTTTATTTTATTTTATTTTTTATTTTTAAAGAACAATGTACACAACAAAGGCCAAGATAGAGGTGATGCTTCATTCATGTCACCATACCACCTTCTTTGCCTCCTTGCCATGTACATCACTGCCAACTTTCACCATCACCTCCACCAAATACCTCTACCACATGAATCAATTCTTGCACTAATGACAAGCCTTACTATTGGGTCAAGATGCCCTTTCCAGCTAAAGTAAAATAAAAAAAGAAAAGAAAAAAGAGTAGGTTTGAATGTACTTCACAATATTATTCTTTTCTTTAATATTTTCATATATTCTTTTGTTAAATGTTTCATTACGTGTATTTTTTTTTTTTTTAAATTAAATGATTGGGAGATAGATGTTAACACTCAACTTACTTTTGTTATTTTTTTCTCAAACTGCCTAGATTCCAAATTTAGTTGATTCTGTCATCTGAATTTGGCTGTGCCTTGTTTCAAATTCATGAAATACGAATTCCAATAATATGTATGTACTACACTGGCAAGTTACTTATTTCATATTCTACTATTAAAATCTTGTGATTCGATTAACATTTTTTGCAAAATTGATACAAATCTATGAGTGAATCTATTTTGAAAGTGTATCTCTAGTGAATTGCATGATTCACAATCGATTTACAATTTGATTCACTTTTTACGATTCATGCAATTCTTGAAACTATCATGTCCGGCATATTTCATCTATTTTTTTCTCTATTTTTTAGTTAAAATGACATAATACAACTTTTAATAGTATTTAATACGAAAATAACCAAGGTATATACATGATTTGTTATTATTTTAGAGATCACAGAGTTTTTAATAGAATCTATTCAGACTCGACCTAATATGTTTTTAACATTTATCTTCTAAAGATGTTTAAGATTAAAATAACTTGCAATATGAATTATCTATTACTATTTTATTGAAATAAACATATTTCATGGGTGAGGTTAGTTAAACCTAATGGTTCTGCAAGTTCTTTAAAAAAAAATCTATATATACTTTTTTGAACAATAAGCATATGTACCTTTTAAAATGTTTTAGGTTGATTCTAATTAATTATTTCTTATTATTAGGTTATTTTTACTAGTAAAGGCGTGTATGCTTATGAAATATTAATATCATTGTTAAATTATTGTTACCTGTAAATTGAGAATTTGCCTTTGTTTATTTTATTTATTAAAAATAGTTGATAAGTAACATCTAAAAAAACGAAAAAGGTTAGATGGTGATCTTACTTGGGAACTTGTGCTAACTTCTTATCTATTAGACCATGTGATCATTAATCAAAACCACATTTTTATTGATTTGAAATAAACATACTTCATGGGTGAGGTTAGTTAAACCTAATGGTTTTGCAAGTTCTTTAAAAAAAATCTATATATACTTTTTTGAACAATAAGCATATATACCTTTTAAAATGTTTTAGGTTGATTCTAATTAATTCTTTCTTATTATTGGGTTATT